GCAAGTATTACTACTGTTCACCTGGAGATCCCCAAGCTGGAATTGAGGGCCCGAGAGCTCCATTCTTTCGAGGACTCATTTGGATTGCATTCAGTTATCATCAACAGATACAAACCCGATACTGAAATCAAAGATGATGTAGGTCAGCAGCTTCCCATGTTCTGTTAGCTTCAGTGTAAGTGTATATGAACCCTGAGATCAATAAACATAACATATATATATATAAAAAGACTCATTAGTGCTGCCATGATTTGTCCAAACGTCCATTTAACTTGTAGCATACAGCAACAACAAGAAGATCATAAAATTTTAATTATTTAGGAGCAACTATATAAATCTTTTATTGTAATTGAGTTTTATAAAAAAAATCATATCCTTAATTAAATTAATAATATATAACAAATTATTTAAAGTTTTGTTTAGATCTTCCTCCACCTTTTTTCATATTACTAATAACAATTGTTTCATCTTTTCTAACTACAATAGCTTATGCTCATATATCTTCGAATACATTAGTTGTTCATTAATAAAACTACATCTCGCTTTATCCTTTATGTTATTTCATGACATACATCTTGCATGGTTTGATTGATGAATAGATAGAAGAGGTTCATGTAGGCCAGTAAATGGAAGTAGATTAATTGAAAAATCAGTCACCACTGTTGGTGAATGATGTATTAGTACTACCTCTAAGGTGATCCTGTGATTAAAAGCAACACCAAAGAGGAGACAAATACAAGTTGAGAACAATCAATACCAAAATAGTCATCCTGATAATATTTTAGATAATGACCCATTCAAATTTCAAATAACTGAGTAAGAACTAAGAACTAGACTCTTCCAAGAATCGAGACAGAAGAATCTAGACCGTATTCAAATCTAGGCCTCCTCGTTCATTTTCTAGGCCATCGGAGGAAGATGGAAAAGGAAAAGGTAAGCAGAGAAGAGGAGGAGCACCCTAGCATGGGATAATGTCCCTCTTATTGGAAAGCAATACAGCAGCCAAACCAAGCTATGAACTCTCATTCTTATTTTGATTATTTTTTATAGCTAGCATTATGCTCCTCCAATCAACATAATAAAATGACAATCATCTATTTATTGTTTCTTATCCATTCTGCACCTTCTTCCAATATTACTTAACAGAAAATTAATACAGTTGTCCAGCTTTAACATTAAATATAATGTCTTATAATCTATTCATAGATCTGGGATTCAATTAGTTTCACTCTGTGTAATGCCAGTTTAACCATGCGTGTCATACATTCTCTTTGGTGTGTTTTTGTTCATCAATTTTTACTATTGATTTTTAATCACTATATTATTATTATATACATCAATGTGCCTAAAGTTATTCTACTATTTTTCAATATGTGTAATTGCAAAGCTTATAATCATCTTTAATTTATGACATAACATATCGTTTTCTTATTTTCATTTTCACCATTAAAATATCTCATTCAGTACTTAGTTAAGCTATCTATCCTCCCTACTACATGCAGATCTGGGTTCGATCTTGGTCACAGCCAAACCTCTTTTGGAACATTGTGAACAATCATCTCCATCAATGAACTTTCTAAAATCCAGAGTTAGGGATTGCCCACCGGCTTTCATATGTTCGTGAAGATTAACATTCATAAACCCCTACAGCAAAGGAAACCAGATGCTATGATGTTACACATCATTTACTGACTTACAGATTAATCATAACGAGTAGAAACTTCAAACAACAATCAAGAGAAGCCTGATGAGACAACCACATGGTGAAGCCAAACACAATTTTCTTTGAGCATACCATCAGTGTAGCACTACTTTGATATTCATCATAAATTAAGTTGTCTCAATAAACCATAATAATGAAACATTAGAACAAAAGCTCTCACCGGTGGGGTAAATGATGGTAAAAGTCTGCTGGTGAGATAGTACAAAGTCACCAGCTGAGACAGGGCAGGACGTCTTCTTGCAAAGATCTATGAGTTTCTTGGTGAACATGAAATCCCAAGTACTTGACGTCAATTACCAACTTCCCTTCTGATATTTCATCGCTTGTTTTTGAACATTAAAATAGGTAAATTAACATGTGCTTCCTAAAGAATTTTAAGTAGACATTCACACAAACAAAATAATGTCCATGAGGTACCAGACTCCAGCACTTTGAGGTAATGCCTGAATAAGTCATTCATTGCAAAACAACATGCAAATTAAGCACACGATTTTTACTTTTTTATTGTGTAAAAGCTAAGATCAGTGTTGGATGTTATAATTAAAAGAAAACTGAAACTATCAGTATCTTTCCAAGTAACAAAATAATATAGTAAATATTATTTTATTAGAGAGCATACCCATTTATAAGGGCATGTCAGTAGCACGTCAACATCGTATGTGCAGCCCAGGCTAAATCCTTACCCCTTTAATGTGCAGAAACCAAAATCACGCTACACTAGTTTCTTCATCAATCATTCAACACCGGCTCTCTACAAGATTGGACATATCTTGCTTTAATGGGTCGTGCATTTTGACTTTGTATAACTAATCATGTGTAAAGTTATCCATTCGCCTCCTGGTCCATGCTATTAAAAGATGACCTGCTTATCATCTATTGTGCTTATTTTGAAAAGATATCAACATCCTTTGCCGCACGTGGAAAATAATAACAACTTAACCCACCTTTCCTTCACAATTCATATGGGACATCATATTTACACTCTTTTAACTTTTTTCTATAAATCAGCTATAACAATGTCGAAAACAAAATGAAGCCAGACTTTGTTCACAAGCACCACAATAATATTTATTAGGCTAAAAATTTCACCAACCAATCAAACTAAATGGTGTTACAGATCAAATGTTTGTATGCTTTTTCCTTGTTAATCTGCTTCTCCCTCAAAATCTCTTCCTAAATTACCTTTATGAAGCTAGGTTTTTCACTTCAAACATAAGCAAGATATTTATTTATTGTATTAATCCAGATGCATTTTACTTTTAATAGGAAAAGCCGGACAAACAGGTAGACAACCTCAACAAATTACTCATTGACAAATCAAGAGATCAAATAAAAGAATCTCAGCTTTTGGTGACTCATTGGTAAATCCACCTTAATTCCCTATCAACCAATTATGTGAGACCATCAACAAAGTCAAAGCCATATTATTTGAAGTCCAGTCAAGGCATGGTCAAAAAAAGAAACAAGGTTAACAAGGGACTATGAAGTACCATGATGAAGATCAACTAGTTCAATTTAAATCAAATGATTGTTCTCAAGATTGAGTATTACCCAAAGCATGCAGTAGATTAGCTGTTGAAAAGTGATACAAGAAAGAAGACAAGAAACATGCATAGCACGATCCTTTACCAGTGTTTGCTGAGATAGTGAATGTAGCTGACTTTCCCCGTGCAATTGAATCTGGAGATATATCAACACCACCAACCTTAACTGGATAATCAGCTCCCTTTTCTGTGAAGATAACATAATTTTTAAAAGAAATCAGCAAGAGATCCATTCACAGTAATTATCAAAAAGTCATCTGCATATTCAAATAAGAAGACATAGTTTTGCTTATTATCAGGAAACAATTACTCCTTAAATATGTCCTAGTGAGACCAATAGATACTAGTTAAACCCGGTGAATCAATTATGGTTAGTGGTGCAAGGAGAGGTAGAGAAAAATCTAAGAAAATTTTACGATAAATTATTAAAAAAATAATTTGATTGCGCTTATTTTGGCCAGTGACATTACCCCTCAATGGAGTTCCATGAATTGGGAAAGATCCACGTACCCAACCTTAAATAGTTGGGACATTGTGGCTTGTCGTTTAATATTGGACACATTATTCGGTTGAACAATCAATTCATTCATTATGTAAAATACACTAAATTAAACCCAAGACAAAGAGTTCATAAAAATTAGACAATCATGTAATGAAACTTAAGAATATAGCCTATGTGGAATAGATAAACAAGACCCAAGGATCATGCCAAGTTTGAACCCCCCACCAAGAAGCATAAGAATACACACGGTTCATAAACTGTAAATGACTGCACAAATTCCCCTCTCATATTTCCTCGATAAAAATATAGACCCTAAGGCAAGGCATGATTTTGGACCTTCAGAGCTACGTTAACCTTCGCTCGTTTAATGACCAGAGAGAAACTGGCAGTTGTTGTAGATCATTACTCTTCTCATGATTAATGTGACGAATCCTCCTCGATGACAAACTAAAAAGCCAAAGGTTGTTGCAGATACGTCGTCCGCCCTTGTGATCCTTGATCATTCCCCACTGAGAAACTAGAAATATCGCAATCCTTACTCCCTTCGGCCATCGATTGACCGAAGAGGATAGAGTGGGAGTCGTGGTCAAAACCAATTCCAAGAAAAAGCAAAAAACAAGACCAAGGACCGGCTTGACTACGATCAAGCGGCCACATCCATCTCTACCAAGAACAGAGTCGAACCCCCCAAAGCATTACTAAGATCGAAGTCGCGACGGAGTTGTACAAGACAACAAATCCAAGGAATCAAAATCAACGCAAAAAAGGGAAGGATCAACGGGGAACTCACTGCAACACTCGACATCGGCAGCGGGCAGGGGAAGAAGGAGGACAAGGAGAAGAGAAGCTACGGAGAGGACGAGGCGGGGATCGACCATCGACGCCATCGTGAGCTGTTCGAGGAGGAGGAGACGGAGAAGCCAAAGAGGAAGCCATCGCGTTTCTGTTACGTCTTCGGCTTCATCGGCTAACTAAATACGCGGAGCCCGTAATTAGTAGAAGAAAAATATTTTTCGGCTTTATCCGCTAATTAAATATGTGATATTACATATCTACCCCCAAATTTGGGTACTATGCATGCTAAGGAATCTTAATTCCAGTTGACATTTTGACTTGATTTTTTCCCCTTCCATTCACTGTAAAATTATATATATATATATATATATATATATATATATATCAAATTATATAAATATTCAAGAGTAACAGAGAGATTTAGATCATTTGGATATATACTATCAAACTAATTGATTTGGCGTAAAGAGTGAATACAGTGGATTAGCACTTCACCTCGTACCAATTTACATAAGAAATCATCTCAGAGCATCCATGAGAACATGCTTATGGAGTGCTGAAGACTTAGCCAAGAGGAGAAGTTGCTTCTTCATGTCTCTGTCCCCTCTCCCTGCTAAAACTACTCCTGAAGCAGTCAATTGCTTGATTCTAGACTTCGATAGGTGTAGCATCTGCTACTCTCTTGTTGTTCGATCATGGATGCCTTGCTAGTGTTGACAGGGGGACGGCGTCCGCGAGCGGAGTCGGGAGCGGGCTGGGCAGCGGGGACGTGCGGCACAAGGGGCACGTCGGGCGCAACCGTAGCCACGGGTCGACGCACTTCACGTGGAACAGGTGCCCGCACTCCGGCAGCGCCCGCAGCACGTCGGCGTCCTTGTAATCGGACAGGCATATCGAGCAGCAGGAGGCCGCGCCCGCCACGTCGCGGCGGAGCTTCGCGTGCGAGTACCGCACCTTGGGGTAGCTCTTCAGGGTGTCCTCGTCGATGCCAGCCTCCACGTCGCCGCCCGCCGCCGCCGTCGTCTCCTGTTCAGCCGGCCTCCTCGCCGCGGCCCGGTGCGGGGGAGGGGGCGGGCCCGCGGTTGGGGAGGCCGTGGTGGCTCGGGTGCAGAAGTACGATGCGAGGGTGATGGTGGTGATGAGGAGGAGCATGCCGATGGACACGCCGAGGCCGTAGCCGAACCCGCTGATCCTGTCGGAGCTGAGCATCCCGACGGAGCCTCCGTCGGCGACCGGCGGCGGCGAAGCGTCGCTTGTGGAGTTCATCGTGGCGTGGCAGAAGAGATCGGAGTGCTGCCGAGGTATTAGAGAGAGAAAGAGGAAGCATCACAGGCTCTTTGCGGTGCAGTTCCTCCACGTAGATACCGAGAGTTGCCCTCTCAGAACACAGAACGAGCTGTGGTTTATGGGAGTCAACGCAAACATGGTGGGGGAGGACAGGGATTTAAGCTCAAGAAAGAACAGCTCGAGTGCAACAGATTCAAATAAACAAAGCGAGTTGAGGTTTGGAAGATTGAAGCGTGAGAGGTCAATGCTTCCATGATTGTGTACTATAATGGATTTCTATCTGGATCTATGCATAGATTTAGCTGTCTCAGTCTACTTGTGCCTGATGCATTTGATGGAGGCCACCAACCGGTGGCATTTCTTTATTACCAAGCAGCCGCTTTCACCACCTATTTTAGTTCATTGTTGGTGGTGTTCTCCATGCATCTTGAGAGCCGCTTGCTTCCTCGCAATACGTTTCTTCCATATGAATCCATCGCCCTTTTCTTTGACGTGTGACGCACGTCTCAATTCGAACCTCTGCTTGTTGATTGGTCAGTGATTAGAGCAAGGAAAAATTTCAAACATCTAGTCCGATATATGATGCGGATTTGGTTGACTTTAAACAATTATACTTTAAATTATTGTGATCATTCAAACAGCCAAGTCAATAATGCAATAAGATTATTATTTTTTTCTCGACTTGAAACAAATACACTTCAAATTATTCATACAACCTAATCAATAATGCAATAAGATGAATGTTTTGCGAGTTTGATGATCAGAATTCGGAGCATGGCTATACAATTTATCGTCCATAGAAATATGATTGGTTACGGTGATCGTTAGTGATAAACTATATATTAAGTAATTCATACCATGATGATGTTCTCTCCCAGTCGGAAGTCAAATGAAACAGAGCTCTCACAGACATCAATCAATCACTAATCGAATCTGTCAGTGAATAGTTCCAAGGGAGATTACTTCAGTTCAATTCCTTTAAAATATCCAATCGAATTGATCCTTCAATCCAGTTAAATAAGGAAGAAACTGTGAATACAGCAGAAGAGAGAGAATATAGCGTTTTCATCTGAATTCAACTCACCCGAACGAACATGCACATCCTTCCTATCATTTACAGAAGCATTTGCATTAAGATTCACGAAAGTTTGTCGATCCCAATAGCACAAGAAGAATTGTCCAGACTACATCATTTGTGCCAACACCTTGTGTTGACAATCAACAGACGAATAAAAGATGGCATAAACCCAATCAGCTCATCAAACTTGTGTTTCTCCTGAGCATCGTGGCCAGAATGTACACTCCAGAAATTGAAAGTCAAAGCAACAATCAACCGACGAATAAAAGATGGCATAAACCCAATCAGCTCATCAAACTTGTGTTTCTCATGAGCATCGTGGCCACAATGTACACTCCAGAAATTGAAGGTCAAAGCAACAATCAACCGACAAATAAAAGATGGCATAAACCCAATAAGCTCATCAAACTTGTGTTTCTCCTGAGCCAGATGGTACGCTCCAGAAATTGCAAGTCAAAGCAACATCGATAGCCAATAATTGCCACGACGAATTGCTAAAAACACAAAACACGTCGACATCCTAAAACCTCATCATTCCTGCCCTTGGAATTCATTGGAAATCCAAACTTCTGTTCGGTATTCACATTAAATTACTGATCTAAAATGGTCTCTAACATAGGGTCCGATGCCTTCGGAGCACATAATTAAACCACATGCACACAATTACACAGTAGAAGGATTCCATGATATCATTCACCTATTCAAGTAGTAGTCCACTTCTACAGAAAACAAACAACCTATAGGCTCGTTCTAATCGTCGCAGTTGATATGCTCAAACAGGCATCACATAACTTGTCCATTTAAATTCTAAAATATCAGTCAAACAAATAACGATGGTAGTAATGTTCTTCTGCCTCGATTGCACCTCACATATGCTCATGGAATAAGAGAATGTTTCCAGAAAAGATCGAGGAGATCGGTTTAAACGTGAACAAGACAACATGAACTAGGTATAGTGTTCAGCCACAAGGTTACCACAACGACAATGATCGACACAGTAATCAGTACGCAGACAACTGAAAGAGTACGGAGTTCATCACGAACTCAGCTGATTCCAAAAAGATTTTTGTTCACTGCTGAGCACATTGCACTCTCTGGGCACCACCATGCATATCGTCATCCTCCTCGTAAGCCTCCTGTGCCTGAGCCTGCTTCCTGCGCATCTCTTCCTCGATGTTAACATCATGCAATGTCGTCTCCTCGCACTCATCCAGCTCCATGTCGGTCATCTGCGATGCAGGCTTTGGGGGAAGAACAGACTCGAGAGCTTTGCACTGTTCTGGTGTCATTGAATCTGGGAAGTCCACGGTGAAGTGGATGTAGAGCTTCCCCCTCATGAAGGGCCTCTGGTACATCGGCATGCCCTCGTCATTGATTGCCTTGAATTGATCTGCACCGGTAGCGCGGCAGTCATGGTTAATAAGGAAACTGCGCTGTTATGTCAAAGCCTGTAACAGAAAAAGTCAAAACGTTTCGACAGGATGGTTTGCTTTGCTTACCGGGCTTCACAACTTCACCGGGGTTGGACTTAATCAGTAGCTGTCTGTTATCCAAATGGGTCAACACGAATCGGAAGCCACAGAGAGCTTCAGTGAGCGATAATGCGTGCTCGTAGAAGAGATCATCTCCCTTTCTCTTGAACTTTGGGTGATCCTTCTGTTGAAGTACAAACACAATGTCTCCAGTAACTGTCTCAGGCTGCAACACCCAGAACAAGATGGTTAGTCCGTGTATATCCCTGAGTTCATACGGATCGATGTTTTCAAAGAGTGACAGGAACATACTGCTTCATCTGCCTCTCCGGGGAAGGTAATCTTCTGGCCATTCTGCATTCCTTTCTCCACTATAACCTCCAGCACTTTCTTCTCGGGAACAACCTTCTCACCTTTACATTGTGGGCAGCGATCCTTATCATTGATGGTCTCCCCAGTCCCCTTGCACTCGTTGCAAGGGTGCTGCATTTGTTGGATCATCCCAGGCCCTAACTGACGAATTGTGACCTTCATACCCGAGCCTTGACAGCCGGAGCACTTCATTGAAGCACCAGACTTCGAACCCTTCCTGCACAAAGATCCTAGAAAATGTTACGAAGCAAGCACTCAACAGGTAACACATCACAATGAACAGCAGCAGGCAACTCACCCCTTGCACTTTTGGCAGATGACATTCCGCGAAAGGGATAGTTTCTTCGAGGTCCCGTTGTAGAGGTCCTCCAAAGACACCTTCAGAGGATGGATCACATCCTCCCCCCTCCTCTGCCTTCGTCCGCGACTGCTTCCGCCTCCTGTCCGTGCCAAGTAACAACATCACTCGCTTTGTATAGTCTTCGTGCAGGACTGGGAGAACATCACTCGTGCTAAGAGGTGGAGCAAACATGATCAAGGCCAAAAACATACCTCCGAAGGGATTTCCACCGAAGAACGACTCGAAGATATCGAATGGGTTGTGGCCACCTCCACCACCCATTCCCTCCTTGAGGGCATCTTCACCATACTGATCATAAATCTCACGTTTCTCAGGATCGCTCAGAACCTCATAAGCTTGGGCCAACTCCTTGAACTGTAAAGGCAGACATGAGATCTATGTCATCTGCGACTCCAAGGGTATGAAACAAATATCAAGACCTAACAATCCCGACTACAATCCTTCGGAACATCACAATAAGAACAAGGCCACACAAACATTTAGGCTACAAAGTTTCAACAAAGCAAACATAGACGGATGTTCGACAACATGTAGAGATAGAGAATATGCCCATCCCAAATTAGCTACCAGCTCGATCATGGATCTAACTTTGGCGGCATAGATTTCCAACATTTATAACAAAAAAAAACCTTCAATCACTTGGCAAAATTACATTAAACTATGAGAAAATCAACCGAGGTTCTTTAAAATGTATCAACACCTAATTAAGATGAATCTAAGGGACCAAAGACGGAGATGAACCATTAATTAGAACATCGATCCCACCTATTCAACTGCAGATCAGTAGAACCAGACACCGACAAGCAAAAGGCGCGTTACCTTCTCTGGATCGCCACCCTTATCGGGGTGGTTCTTGATGGCGGCCTTACGGTAGGCCTTCTTGAGGTCCTCCTGCGACGCGTTCTTCGGTACCCCGAGGATCTCGTAGTACTTGGTGTTGTCGCTCTTCTTCGGCGCCCTCCCGAACATCTTGCCGACCGAACCCTAATCGATCTTCCCCAAACTGAATGAGAAATCGGGCCCTCAGGTCTTGCCTACTCCCGATTCAAGACCACCGCAACGCTGCCGACCTCGACTCCGAGAACCCTTGTCGATGGATGGCTCGAGGCAAGGAAGGAGAGGCGAGGGCTATAAGGCGGATGGGGCGGCCCAAAAGAAGCCTCTAGAACCAGAAGCCCTATCGCACCGGTATCGAATCTGATCCGTCGGATTGAAGATCAACGGTGAGTTGAGGAGTTCTAGATGCTTCCGTTGTTGCTCCCGGTTACTCCAGAAGGGGCTCGTAAGCGTCCGTCTTTGGTGTGAGACTTACGCAGGCTTCTTTCGTTGTGAAAACCGTGGAACAAGTCATCGACAGCCAACATATTCCGGACACGTCGATATTAAAAGGCTTCATATTATAAATAGTTTTTTTTTTATATCGGAATGGTGCATGAGCCATAAAAAATACATAATATGATTATAATATTATGGTAAAAAGATTATAAATGAATTAAATAAAATTTAAAAAATATTTGAATATATTATATTATGATTTAAATAATTATTTATAATAATTTAAAAATAACATCATCAAAATAGGGATAAGAAATTGATCTATTATAATATTTTGAGAACCTCAATAAAATTAATTACTAGTATAAAAATATAATATCATAATAATATGCGACTAATGATAATAAAAAAGATTAAAAAGCTGCAACGACGACATTGATTGCACTCACCAACTCTGCTCTACTTCCGACACCTCATTCCAATATCGACCATCATCATCTCATAAATGTTTACCATCGACATCATTAAATCTATTATATTACTGTAGTAAATAAGTATTAATTATACTTATGTATATTAATATGGTTTTTAGTATTTTAATCTATATTTAACTATTACATATGTTTATCGAACTTTAATTTTTTTATAATATTTTAAAATAATAAAAAAATAAATATTCCTTATAAACACTTCACTTGTTTGAGTGTGAAGATTGAGATGATTTGAGTTGACCTACACAGAGATTAGTGTCCAGTGAATTTTTAATATAGTTAGTCTTAATTGAGTGGTTGAGAGAGAAGTATCATTAATGATAACATCAAAATATTTTTATAAATAAAAAAAATTTCTGCTCAAATTTGGCACTTTATCTTCTTCTATTGACTTGACTGCAGCTTTAATTGAAGATAATTATTTCTCCTATCATCACTCAACCATTCTAAGAATATTAATAATATCTTAAATATTCAAGTTAACACGTACCCAAGCAGGTGGCTGACTTGTGATTTTGGGACTGATGTTATTCATATGGGTCCCTTCTATGGGCCGTCGCTTTCTGAAGCGGGTAGAGAATGGAGTAACAATCGAACAACCATGGATAGTACTTGTGTTATCTCCTTTCTCGCGAGTCAATCTTAACTTATCCGCTTACTCTCCACGTGGCGATGCTCGGAGCTCCGTGCCTACCTCTAGCAAATATAATTCTGCCACGTCTGCAGTGATGGTTACGCGAAGCGACACGTAGTTGGAAAATTTTGTATGCATTTGCGGGAATTTACTGTATTTATCTTTGTAAATGTTGGAAATAGCATATATCTCCATATTAATTTTATTATAACATATACGTCCTTCCATACATACATTACAATCTTTCGTATATACCTCTTCTCTTTAACCTCAATTAGCCGCTACCAATTATCATTATCGTTAATAAAAATCAAATCAATGTATAAATATATTTGATATTTTTATTATTATGGTAATCGAATGATCGTATGTATATTTATCTATTTCAATTAGAGCAATCAATTCCCATTCTTAAACGAGGTAGAATTCTGGATCCCAACTTTATAATTTCAAGTCTTATCGAGGTGAAGTTTGCAACTTTGCACATTATCCAGGGGTACATGTAAGACTCTTCCTTTGTAGAGGATGAAAATGAAAAGTGGTATTCGAACATTTTTAATCCTCGAACCGAATGAAAACGATCACCTGCGACTTCCGGACCGAGGACGAGAGCCGAAAGAAGACAAAGAAACGAAAGCGAGATCGACGCTGAGCGACAGGGGAAATTGCCGGCCACAAGCAAAAGGGGGGAGGAGGAAAAGTTCGAGCAAGGACCAGGAGGAGATCAGAGATGGTACGTCCCTGGAATCGATCTCCCGAGGTGAGCTCTGGATTCGAGTCTCCCTCCCCCTCCTTCCCCTTACTGTTGGGTTTTGTGTTGACTCGCTTATGGTCAGATCCGCGCTCGTGTTTGATCCCCCTCCGCTTCTTCCCTGCTGCCGCCTAATTGGGTCTCATAGCTGGATTCTGCCCCCTCCGTCGGTGGGATCTTCTTTCCCGTTTCTTTATGGCTGACATTGGGGCCGCGTGGGATCGTCTCGGTACTCCGGCTGATCCTAGTGTTCTGTGTTTCCTACTCCCTTTTTACTCCTCGGAGGGAATTCTTTGCTTCAAACATGGGGGTTTAGCTTGGGTTTTGGTTCCTTATTAGATGAGTGATGTGAAGTGCCAGTTGCGAGCTAAAATCGAATCTTGCTGGTTCTGGAGTGATATGGTTGTTCCGATTTGGGATGCTTCTGAGTGGATTCAGCATTATCTGTAGCAAGAGTTTCTTTCGGAGTTACTGTTCCTCTCCTCATCTGCACATCCTTACAAACCTCTAGTAAGTTGTGCTTGATTTGATTTCTCCAGGTGGAGCCGATAGAATCTTTGTTTACCTACTTGATTATGTGCCACTTGGGGTATCCAACTTTAATTTGTAGACTTATTTGGTTTCTTACAACTTTTTGTCTTTTTACCCATTACACCTGTCTTGGATCTGGTGATCGCTTCGCAGTTTCTTTGGTCTTCTCGCTGAAAATTTCTCGTGTAATGTGGACTTGTCTGATAATTCTGTCATGCTTTCAGGCTTCTGATCCTGTCTTCCTCTAATTGTTTCTTTATCTAACCACCCGGATGTCATCGCCCGTATCGGTGGATCTATCATGTGCATTTAAAGCTTCCTCAATAAGTAGAACCTCAATAACCACAAATCGGATTTTTATTCAATTAAAAAATATTGTTCTTCATGCTGTTGGAAAACAGAAATGCTGCATCGCGGAATTCTATGTGCGAGTTTTAGGCATGAATCTTGGATTTGGTGTGCATCTAGAAGCACACAACTGCTGATCCCAAGTCCTGTGACCATCTCGATTCATGCCATGTCCCTGAGCTGTGACTTATGTCAACACTGTCACAGTACATGCCATTGGTTATCAGAAAAGAAGAAAATGCACCTCAAGAGCTAAGGGATGAAAGGTATCCTTAAATAGAAGAAATCTTCCCTTTAAGATATGACCACATTGTAAATGCTTGTAGCATGACTGAGAAGGCTAGTATAAGCTACATCTCAGAGGGGTTGAGATGGCCATCCTACTTGGTTTAGGTTTCGGAGTTTATTGAGATGACTTGACAAGAGAAAAAGTAAGCAGCCTCTGACTAATATTTAGTCCTTAACAGTGCGTCAGCATTACACTAGTTGCTTGCTTTTCAAGAATCCTATATCAACTCAAGAAGGCCCAAAAACACTTACAATTTGAATAAATATAATGGGTAAACAAGATTGTAATAAATTGAACAAAAAATTCAGAAAATGGAAAGTCTAAATCTTATCTGTAACGACACGATCATAGACCTAAGCTTAAATAAACCCAACCTGAACCTAAACTTGGTTGCATCACATATAGCCACAGTAACAATTATGCACAATTAACTTGATTCTCCAAAATACTGATGATTCTAATCCAAGAAAAATTATTTATAGTTGGGAAAATACATTGAATGTTTAACTTTTTACAAAATGCTAGTGCATCCATTCAGGGCAATTTTGATGCCACTGTTGTTCGATGGTATTGCCTTAGCTATCTCCAATATTAGTTTTGGTTAGATATAAGAATGGAGAATTATGATATTATTTTCCTGTGGGTTTCATGGTACATTCATCCAAATGGGGATTATTTATCAATCCTAGAACACCCTGAGAATTTGTTAAATCAGCCTAAACCAGTCAGCTTTTACTGATCTCCAATCAATTCCTGGTTGATTTGAGGTAATTTTGGCTAATTGCCAATTGGTTCTAGGAGACTGTTGATGAATTCTGATTTTTAGCCTAGTTCATACCCAGCGCCAATCTAAAGTTTAATGTTGATTGGACAATCTTGGTTTACATGCCAGTAAATAAATTTCAGCTTGAAGAATCCAGGTTGTCATATATAATTTGCAATTTGCATTTTTTTTAATGATTATGCAGTTCTTGTAATAATTTTGCCAGTTTGTACTCCTAATTGGTTCTGCACTTTATGTAGGCATATGGTCTCCTAATTAAGACTCTATGAATTGGTATTGTTCTTCCTCACATATCCTTCATGTGCCTTGGAAAACGATAATAGTGACTGTTGGTTATGTCCTAATTTTGTTGTCAATTTTTGACAGGTCAGTGTCATCTGAAGGTTAACTGATTGAGATCATGGGAATTTCTGCAAAATGGTTTAGATCATTGGTTGGCATAAGGAAGCAAGAAAAGTTTCAGCATCCAGAAAATGATGAAAATGTGGGTAATTTCTTTTCTTTTGGTCTGTTAAGTTTTAATACTAGTTTCAAGACAATTGCATTATAATCTTTTACTTTTTCTCGACTGACCTTGAAACCTGAAACATCTTTGACCATCTTTTACCACAGCACTGATTTCTTTGACATGCTTACCTCAATATTATGATCTTGGAGATGTTTCCAGACTTATCTATGTGAAGTAACATAGGCTATGGTTTACCCTTTTTAATCTGTTTGGTCCCAAGCCTAGAAAAATGAGCACTGTGTTAGGTATGGAGTTATAAATATATTGGCTGCACAATCAGAACCAAACACTGGCTCGGGCACATTGTTTAGCATTTGGCCAGCATTGCATTAGCCTGATATTCTCAAATGTGCTTGGAGCTGGGCTCTCAACATAGCTATATATTCAACAATTTTAATCAGATGAACTGGACCTTTCTCTTAGCTCAGATGAGGCTCAATTTTTACACCACTATTCTTGGTTCAAGCTTGGTTAGATTATAGACTGAAAATCTGGGCCAGATTATATCAATATCAGCCTGTTCACACTTAATAGTTTGCTGACTCTTAAAAGGTTAAAAAACTTTTATATAAGGTAATACTTTGAAGTTAATGTGTGTCACACTAGCAACGCACTTCATTTTGTGCCTCTTGGATTGTGACTTTTATTTGTAAGGATGGGCAGGGTGTTGACTGGAATCAACCTATAATATGGCAAATCAATGTATTACAGTGAGTAACCATAGATAAATCTATATGATGGAAAGCAATCAGTATAGCCAACTCCTTGTAATTAATTAATATGGAAGTCCCTATTGTCAATGTTGGCCACAATAATTATGCTAAAAGTCTAAAATAATAATATCTCTGGCATACTATACTGCTTTTCTTTCCCCGGTTTAAATTTCTTTGAAGATATTTTTCTGTTTTTTTCTGTCTGTGCATACACTTAATCTCAGCTATCTCAATCTGAGATGATTGCAGAAAAGTGCCTCTGCTGATAAATCGCAAGGCCGGAAGAAAAACTCTGTTGGTCTTGATTGCGCTAAGACAGAAGACGAGTATGCTCCTGGAACTGCTCCAATGGCTGGAGATGCCAACATCCAGTCAAATTCAAACGCCACTTCCTCTCCTTCCACATCAAATAACAGACAAGTGACTTGTCAAACTCAAGAGAGCATTAGAGAGGGGTGGGCTGCCACAGTTATTCAAAGTGCTTTTCGAGCATTCCTGGTATGCTAGTAGTGACTTCAGACTTGGTATGGTGTGGTTGCCATTAACAAGTTGCTTCCAGATAGCGTATGTTAGTATAATTCTTAATTTAGTACCCAGAATTATAAAAATAGGAGGTACAACTTTATTCTAACAACTAATCATGCAGGTAGTGAACTGAACCAATTTTAGGAGTGAACGGTATTTGTTTCATGTGACAAACTTTGTGTTATTGATAAACATTTATAATCAGGAAATCAGCATATTAACATCAGTAAGTTACATTTCATCAAGATTAAAGCTTGTGTATGCAATTGTTATCTGGGCAAAATAGTCATCTTTGGTAAGTCAACTAAAAGAGGATTGCATTGAACTCCTCGCCAACTTGCAGGAAACAATTATCTGCTTCCATAAATTTACACTTTAAAGCTTTAGCTTGCGGATGCAATTGTTGTCTAAGACAATCCCATAAATTAAGGAAATAGATGTTGCGTTATAGTCATTGTCAACCCAGAGGAGACATTTATATGCTGTTGTGAATTGAAACTTTAAAGCACAGGCCAAAAATTATCTACATTGACTAGTTATGAAGAGTTACCAATTAGGATTATTGGGCTTTGACTAATAACTGTGACATGGATGCTTGTTTTAGTTCAGATATTATAAATGTAGCTAACAGTAGTAATTAATCCAGTTCCTTTTCCATCTTATCTTGCATTTTGCAACATAATGAATCAGGTTTAAGATCAATGAACTTGTGAATGTTGAGACATCTAAGCCCTCAAATTTATTTATGTACCATAATTTTAAGTCAACTAAGAAACTGAATAGATATTTCTTGATAGTGAAATCCTGTTTTTTCTAATTTTTAAACTGATACTAGTTGAGCACTTCTATAAAAATGTATAAGCTTCTGGGATCTACTTTTTATGTTTTCATACTCAAGTTGGTGCTTAATGAAAGAACCAGGAATATTCTTTTACACTTAGAAAAGAGAATTTTCTGAGATCTTGAATCCCGTTTTTCTGAAAAAGGTTGTGATAGCTTATGTTGAACTTATGTTTACATTCTGATGACGTGTGGATGATTGGACCATCTCGATCGCTGATGTAGGATTTCTCATTTGCCGTAGACCTAGGTAAAAGGGGTTGTGTTCTGTTGGCTTGTTGCCTTTGTGACTTTGAAATGAACATTAGTTCTTAACTTCTTATAGCAACAATTCTTGTCTTCTTTTTTTCATCTTTAGATGAGCTTTACTTGCTCCTTGGTTGCGTGAGCTTAAACATGAACCAAAAGGATAGCCACTTTTAGGTTTTAAATTGGCCTCTCTTTTAGGGTGTCTGTCTAGAAGTTTGGTGGCAACTTGACTGCCAGTCATAAGATCCTGTTGCATATTTCATGTAGCCCTCTCAATTGATTTGTGCTGTATAGTTGACTTCATATTATTGGTGAAAAGCACTGATGCTGATTGTTATGACAATGATAATAATGTGGATGGTCAGTTGTTGATTTTGTTCCCAAGTCATCCAGCATTTGCTTTTAGCCTATTATTGGAGAACCTGTAGTTTAAGAAAGAAAAATTCAGTGCTAAATGAGATCGGCTGTGACATTCAAAAAATTTATGTCATTTTTCCCAATATATTCTGTGTATAAACTGTAATTTGATTTTTGACTGCTGGGAATCATCTTCAGGCCAGACGAGCTTTACGAGCTCTAAAAGGGCTAGTTAGATTACAGGCCCTTGTTAGGGGCCATTCTGTGAGAAAACAAGCTGCAATAACTCTTCGCTGCATGCAAGCTCTGGTCAGGGTGCAGGCTCGTGTAAGAGCTAGACGAGTTCGCATGGCATTGGAAAGTCAAATGGGGCGTCAAGAGGTTCAAGAACAGCAACCATATGAAGCTCGTGTTAGAGAAATAGAGGTATGCTGCAAACTTTCTAAGCACAAAAGCCACATTTTGAATAGGATCAAATTACATTTGTCCTTTCTCATGTACCAGGCTTCACTAACTGTCAAGGTAAGTAATGGCAAAACATATTTTCTTTTCTCTATTCTTTTCATAGCCTTAATGCTCGTAGGCTCAAGTAACCTGATCAGATGGTTCTATTACTTTATTGTGTGCTATATTGTATGTTTATACTTGTTACTAATGAGTTGTGTACATTAATATTGTCCCGCAAATATGCCATTTGATTGGTGGTAATGAACTAATGATGATAGTTGTATATCTGCCCACAATGTTTTTCCATATTTATGTATTAGGAGTTTTCAATGGCTTTCAATTTCTGAAACTTGCATTGCTTGAGGTTGGAATGGATCTTGAAGACTTGAACACAGACATCACTAACTTTTGGATATTGCATGGTATTGACAAACTGCAAAGAGAAATTAAACTAACCTGCTATAAATTTTTTGTTTCTTTCAGTACTTTATCTGAATCTTGACCTTTAATGCTAAAAACTGCAAGAAAACTTCTAAGAAGTATTTGAAGTTTAAAACACAATCGAGACTCCCCCTGACCTATGCACTTTATTGCCTGCCACTACTTGTATACACCATTAGCTTTATGGCCTTTTCTGCATTCATTTTTTTGTTTTGTATAGCCAAGACATGTTCCACCAAACATAAAGAAAATACCAAAGAATTTATAACTTTCAGGTCTTTCACTTCCTTCACTATTTATCCAATTAAATGTATAACTGATGTCTTATGAGACCAAACTATCTTACCTAATGGTTTGATGCACACCAATTAAAGCTAAGTGATATATCTCATACCACCACTTATATCACAATCGAAAATGTTTGACATTCTAGGTAACTTTGTTCCCAGCATTGAGCAAGTTTTGGTTGATTGAGACACTTTGTCGTAGTTAACCATCATAAATCATAATAATGTATATCTTTCCCTGCTTACATCGATATATAGCTGTGGTAATGCCTTCTTTCAAGACAGCTGTCAGTCGAAAGGCTAAAGTTGAGACTTACAGAATATTGTCTTATATGAACATTATCTGTAATCTCAGGATACTGCCTGTTTTTTCAGTATATAGCCTCAGGTAAGACTGAATTTCTTGTATGCACCTCTTCTATCTGGAACTTTTTATTTACTCTTGAAAGATATTGTTATTATCCTAAGTACAGAAGAATTTATTTTAGCAGTAAGCTGGTTGCTTGTGCCTGGCAACAAATTTCTTTCGGCACACACTTTGAGTTCTTATAGGGATCTATACTATGTAATCTTAGGATATTACTGTTCTTTGCATATAGCCTCAGGCATACTCTGGGAGGTTCTTATGTTATTCTTTTCCAGATTTTCCTAAACAAGTTACCTAACTACGGAAGACTAATCAGTGCCTGCAGTAAGCAGGCATTATGTTTTGCTTGTTTCTAACCAAATTTAATTCAAGTACATGTTAATTCTCTCAAGGTTTTTTTTTTCTCTTCCATTTTTCCTTTTGTTATAGTACTTGTACTAATGATATTGGAGATTAGTTTAGCATGTGCTTAATTCTGAAAGCTTTGTGCTTGTGTCTTTTTATTTTATAAAATCGGATTGAACTATCGTTATGTGGTGTCAGCCAATTTGACTGATTCTCAGTTTTACGGTCTGAATGCAGGAAGGCTGGTGTGACAGTGTTGGCTCTGTGGAGGAAATCCAGGCAAAGTTGTTGAAGAGGCAAGAAGCTGCAGCCAAGCGTGAGAGAGCCATGGCATATGCTCTCACTCATCAGGTATCCTCTGATAATTACATAAAATCATGCTGATGGCAGCTGGATTATGAAGTTCAAACGTATGCCAAGCTGATTCTTTATCATGGCAATACATGAATTTGGGCTATACATGATTTGTGTTCTAGTTTTGGGGTACAAGTTTTTGGGATGTGATTAGTGAATGTTATTAAATTGCTCCTGCTGATTTCCACATAAGGGGAAAAGAAGATGACAGGTTATGTAGTTAATTATAACCAAAGCTGTCCCTTTTCCTTGTCTCTGACACCCACCTCCTTTTGGCCTTGTCAATCTTGCTTTCTGTCTTTTTTGTCTGACAAAATCCATATCTTTTTCTATAGGGAGAAATTTTCATAGGGGAAGTGAGTGAAAACTGGAAGAGTATCAATATGGTAGAAGGACACCATTATAAATCAAAAGCTTACCCCAAAAGGTTCTGGGCCAATGTCAATATATCTAGCCCAACTTTCTATACTCTCATTCATGTGGGACTAACCACCCTCATATGCCCCAGCTATCTACCCCTCACAAGCAGGTTCTCACCGCACATCTTATAGCCATTGCCCCTTCACTAGTAAGCCATGTGACTGTTATTCAACCATAGAGGCTCTGAAGTCTAACAATTTTCATTTTCAACCGAGTCATTCTCTGCTGCAGAGAATAACGTATCTTCATACTAAATCTAGTCACTTGCCATTACAAGTCATAGTTTTAGTAATTATTGTGTTAGAGAATTAACTGTATAATTTATAGTTAGCAAGTTTCATTAGGATGCTAAAATTACAGAATTATGAGCTATGATTTTTGACACTTTTCTTTCTGATCCTGTATATTAGTTGAACCAATGAATTGACTTCAATTGCCTCTAGTGGCAGGCAGGTCCCAGGAAGCCAGCTGCACTTGAAGGTTTTGAACCTGATAATAATAACTGGGGTTGGAACTGGTTGGAAAGATGGATGGCTGTTCGCCCATGGGAGAATCGGTTCCTTGATATTAGTCTTAAAGATGGGGTTAAAGTTCATGAGAATGGAACAGCTGAAGGAAAGAGTGGAGCCAGTGGTACCAAAACTCAGACCAAACCCACTGGCAAGAAACCCATTTCGACGCTTCACTCCAATACACTAATCCATAAATCAGTACTGTCAGTGTCTGATGGAAGTGGTTCTTCATCAAGCCGGTCCGTCAGTATGCAGGTTTCTTCTCCTTTTCCATCAGGCAAACCAAAACAAAAGCTATCAAGTGAGGAGGTTTATGGAGAAGCCACATCTCAAGCATCCAGATTTGGTGCTCGATCTTATAGCAATCCAATGGAGCGGCCCTCTCAATTGGAGTCACAGACTAAGAGGTTGTCCTTACCAAACAGTGGTAAGCTTGTTCCCAGCAACTTATCCTCCTTGCATGTTGTAATGTGCAATTCATTTGGCTTTATTGAATTAGACGTCATATAAAGGTTTACATGCATGTGGTTTACCTTTTCGACCACCTTTCTGAATAATATTCATCAGCATTGAGATAATCAGGATGCTAAGTTTTATCTTTGTTCCTGAGAAATATGTTTTGTTGTTGGTGTCAAAAGTTGTTGAAGGCCTTGTGTATCAGTCCTATGCTTCTGGTTAAGGTAACTGTAGAGGTAAAATTGCTTGATTGCTTGAGTCTTACTCTCATTTCCATTTTTATTGTTAAATTATATCTGACAGTCCTATTCTCTAATCAACCTCCTTCAATTCAATAAATTTTCATGGTAACTTTGAAATATACAAAGATACGACAACCTTGATCCCTTGAACCTTTGAAATTGCTTCAAAGATATAATTTAGATGAAATGATGAAAAAAAAAAGGATTAAAGTTATCTAGAAGACTAGGAGGGGTGAGGGTCTAGGAGAGAAGGTGAGGAATTTCAAAATGGTTTCTACAAGAATGAAAGGGGTGTGCATGAAATCTGATTTGCTAATTCAGGGAATGGCACACAAATACAAAGACTTGAGGGAATAGTTTGCAAATCCTGTATGTACCAAGGGTTCGACATGCAAAGAACACTTCAAACTTAATTTAGTGAGGACAGATGTTCAAACCTCTGAAGGTAATTTCTTGTTTGATGCTTGCCTTTTTGGCTACTATGTGTTTGGTTCGATCAGTTTGATTCTTCAATGCTTTTCATGCAGAACCTGAATCAACTGTTTTGTAAGTTTGGATCTTGATATCAATATGTTTCTGATATCAACCAGGTTTAGGCGGAATGGGAAAACCCACTACAAATAAAGTTGCAGTGAACCGGTCAGCAACTCGGAAGCCCCTTAAAGGTGCACAAAAGTCGGAGACGAAACACCATCAGAATCCGAAGGATCCAGCTTCGAAGAGAGCCGAAGTGCAGATATGAGAAGCTATTTTGAATTAATTTTACTTGTTGTTTTAGCAGCTGATCCTTCGATTTGCCACTGCCGAATCAAATGCTCCGTCTGTAAATATTTTACATGATCTTGGTCAGGTAGGTTAATGGTCCTATTACTCTTTGTACATCTCTATCTTCTGGATGCTGAAAGTTGAAGAGTGGTGATAGTCCTTGATGATAGGAGTGGATCATTCTGTTGTGTTATTATTTGGTACCTGTTTATTACTGTTGTGTTTCGAGTATGTAATGGTCACTTCTATGACTACTGTCAAGAGGCTGTCGATGTTTCTGAATCACTTAAATTGTGGGAAATGTAATGGTTATGTTTTGGATGTATCGAGTGCCATCGCCCTCATAGATGATACTATTTCCTGAGAACCATTTTAACATAGTTGAGCAGCCAAGTTTTTGCTGTGCACTTTGCTCAATAAAATCTTGAGCAATGGCCATCTCCTGGGATGCTTCCTTATGAATAAAGAATATAGTTTTGTTCGGACCGGTTCATACCGTGTGGTATCAAATGAATTGGGATGTCGAATAGTTTATTTGGGTGGTTCGATCCAAGTTATATAATATTTTACGATACCTTTCTCAGGATTTCTATGTTTTGTGTGTTTCTCATGCATCATAGATCATGACTCAGAATGTGGTACTTTTTTAGGATTTATATTTTACGATACCCTGCTTCTTCTTCTCACTTTGTTTTTTCTTCTTCCTCCTCTCTCATGATAGAATGATATAATAGTACAGGTTGTGGATATGGATATGAATGAACTCATACAAGTTGTCATGGTCTAGTACAGGTCTAATATACAAAATTACATTCCATGGTCATGACTTTTAATTTTTGGCTCAATCTCTTAATGAGATGTCAAATTTATGAGAATCAAACATACACAGTCCTTTCGAATACAGCATACCAATTTATAACGATATTTCCAAACTCTGAAACATACGTAAAAAACCTCATACGATGTCAATGTTGTTTAATTGGTTAAGGTTCTTTGGGGTGACGCCTTCACATCTACTCGTTGCCCTTTTTCTAATCTCTCGATATCTAAATGTTTTGATCAATCTCACTGTTCAAGAAAGACAAAGTTGTTTATTAGTTTAATGTGTTAGCATAAATGTCACTGTTAACGTCAGTGTTCTCATGCACAGTTTGACTTAGTTATAGTTGTCGGAAGCTTTCGAAGGTCAGCTTCTCAAGTTAAGGTCAAAAGAATCAATGTCAAATGGGTGACAACCATGAATTGAATCAATTGGAAGAAGAATAATTAATGTTGTACTGTCACTCAAATAATATATCATCAACTTGCAATTAGATTAATTCGTTTGCTTCAAAATCTTATTGTCTGAATATTTATATAATTTTCTCTATCAACCTATCCGAACCCGAATCAAAATTCCAAGTATGGATCCTCATTCAGGATCCATTACCACAAATGGATCAACAAATACAAGTCCGATAATTTATCTGAATTTAACCCGAAATATTAGATATAGATCTTGGCATTCCCAAATTAGATTCAGATCCTATGTCCATATAAATCCCTAAATGTAAATTTGCACATAATTAATTGTAGATTATATATATACATATATTTAGTGAGATGAAATTAATAAAATAATATTTATTTTTTTTCATTAAAGTATACAATTCTAAAAATTGAATCACCTTGGTGGATAGTATGAGACAACTCTTACATTATTTAGTGAGATGAAATTAATTTTGATGCATACAAATTGAGTTAGGAAGTATACTTCCCTTAAAATAAAGGAGACATACAAATATTTTTATGCAATAAAATACTCATTGATATGCACATCGAATCATACATGTTGTGTGATCATGTGAATAATTTTTATATGCTTTATGGATTTATCAGCTAACATTCATTTTCATTGGAGCAATTATTGATTCGTAGGAAACAAGGACAATGCTTATAAAGAAAGAAATAAGAAGATTAAGCCTAAGTGCAAGTTCATATTGGTAGCCTCATCAGAAAGAAACACAACTTAGATATGGTTGACTTGGATTTGTGTCAATAATTCATCCCCTTAATTACAAGTTAATGAAAAAGGTTATCTTTTTGTGCCACTGAGCAAGTAGATTAGAAGGGATCTGCTTCTCCTTATCAGCCAATTGATTATATTCCTTGGGCAGCACTTGGATGTGGACTGCCATCAAATCACAATTCATGATTAGGTGTAGTTAATTAACAGTGGTGCTAATATTTAACTTGCATGTAGTGAGGAAGTCATTGTTATCCAACTACCTTTAATTGCATGTCACTAAGGTCAACAACATTCACTTGGCAGTGAAGGGTAACTCCTAATGCACTAAGCATATCTCATCTAATCTACTAATAGTTTTATCAAGTAAAGAAAGCACTCGATTGGTAGGTAGAAAGTTAGGGGAACTGTTCCTCACTTTGTGCCCATAGGCTAAGCGTATGACAACACCAAGGAGAATCTACTTTGCTTTTCTACAACTGAGGGATCATATGATTTGTATTAATCTCCTCCTTGTTCTCTTTTGATATGATCTTGATTTCCTTTCTTTGAGTCGTATGCTAATGCAACTTCCTCTTCCTTCTCTCGACAATTTGATGATTGAGTTGGGTTGGAAGGCATTTGAATTGTGCAAGTCTCACATTCCAAAGCTTTGGATAGATCACATAGGTTGTCAGCTTCTACTAACCATCTTGCCTTATTACCGCATGCTAAGAGAGAACTCTTTTTCTATATTATATATATATATATATATATATATGTAAGAATTACTTTAAACAAACACTTGAGAAGAACCTAAATGCTTGGCATTATTGACATGATCTTGTCTGCATCAACTGTATGACATCAAGAGAGTAGCAAAATGAAGGTGTGTTTCACAAGGTAGTGATGTTTCTGATGAAACATGTCACCCTTTGAATCAATCTCTGGTGCTGATGTTGACAGTGGGCCACCATCTCCTGAGGTGGATCCCAACATCAACAGACCCCACATTGTACCACCTCCTAAAAAGCCTCCTTCCTTTCTTTTCTTCCTCTGGTGGTGATTGAGTGTTCCACTTGGATGGATCAAAGGAAAAGTCCTCAATGCTTATCACACTAACAAAATCTTGTACCACTCCATTCTTAATTGTAAACAATTCCATCTTTTTCATATATATATATATATATATCTCTCTCTCTAGGTTATGTCTTTACCACAATTCTTTGAAGACCTAACCACACCAAAGTTTCATACATAGGTGTTAATTCAACATATAAATATAATTAATGTGTAGAAATAATATATTGATTTATAAGATGATCTTTCTCATACATCAAATATGATACTTGGGTGATAAATTGGATGAGGATGGTGAGGAAGGAGGACAAGACTAAGGTGGGGTTCACAAATTTGTCAGTGCCTTCCACTGACCAACCACATTATTTGCATGGAGCCCCTACAAACACATCCACTTCCACTGACCACAGGATCAACAACTGAAGGAGAGAAGAGAGTCTATCTTCTGTTGCATCTGGATTACACACCAACCCTCTTCTTCTTTGCATGTATATGAAGAGCTCAATTGGGCATTTAGCTTAGCATAATATTGATGTGCTTCTCTCTCTCTCTCTCTCTCTCTTTTTGTGTGGATAGCATAAAGTATATAATCATTATATTAATCATATGCATTAGACACTAAGTACTCAACATTAGATCATTTGTCAGTGCAAATAATGTGCTAAACAATAGGATATCTCTGTAACAAATAATGTGCTAAACAATAGGATATCTCTGTAATAATAGCTTAAATCAATAGTCATAGAATACCATATTTTATCGATACATATAAATATCTCCAATCAAATTCGAGAGAATCGATTATATCATGTTGAGTTTAGAAAACACTATGAATCTTAAACTTATATTGTAAAATCTGAAGTCAATGATAATAATGATAACAATAATAATAAATTACAACATCTCGACTATTGATTTAAGCTAGTAAAACAAGAATTATTTTATAAAAATATTTTTATTTATTTCCTCTCCAGAGTATTTTTCTTTATTGAATTGCTTTATTCATGCTTTGAGTAAATAAATCTTAAATGAGGAAACCTTAAAATGAAAAAAAAAAAAGATCTATTGATTGAGAAAAAAAATGAAGAAATTTCAAAGATGATAAAAAGGTAAAATTTTGATATATACTTAATAAATTAATTTTTTAAGGTGCTAATTAGTTTAGCTGAACTCGAATCGAAAATAAATATTAATTTTTTTAAAGGATATATATATATATATATTTATGTATTTCAAAATATATATTATTTATATTTTGGGTGGGGATTCAGTGACACAGTCTTGTGTTGCCATTTACTTAGCCCACCAATTAATGGGAATAATTGATTAATCAAATCCCACTAACTTCAATCCAAGTTGGCTTTTAATAAATATTTGGAAGATTATAAAAAGAAAAAAGAAAAAAAAAAGTGATTAAAGAATAGAGAAATCAGTGTGTGGTGGATAGGATTGCCTCAAGCATTTCCCAAAGGCCTTCGGAGGGCGCAATAAAACCCACTTCCCCATTCCTCTCCAGCTTGCAAACACCCACTTCCCTCCTCCTCCTCTGCTGCCCATTGTCCCCTTCCTGTCACTTCTCCCTCGACGGGACTGGGGACTCCGGCGGCTGCTCCGCTTCAAATGTGAGTTCTCCCTCTCCAATCTCGTCTCTTGATTCTTGTCTAGGCTAACACGGTGTTCCCGACGTTTCTTGTTGTCTCGGTGTCGATGCTTGCCTGTCTTTTCTCCTTGGTTATAGGTTTTCCACGCATGGGATCGGCGAAAGATTCTTCTTTGAGTCCTCTGGGTTGTGTCCTTTTGGTTTCGGTGTGGGTTTTCGTTGAAAAGTTCAAATCTTGAAGCTTTATGAGTCGGTTTTTTTGGTTTCTTGATGTTTATGGATGATCCTTCCGTAGCCAAGTCGGCGACCACTTTCTCTGAAAAGTTCCGACTAAAAAGGGGAAAAGATGGTTTCTTGAAACCGATACTCCTGCGTTCTGGCTACTCGTTTCGTCTTCCCTGACCCATCCTGCTCCTTTTGTCGATCCTGCTGGTTTTATTTGGAGGGTTTGTGTATATGGCACCAACTTGCTTTTCCTTTTGTTGGGATTATATAGTGTTTACGACATCAAGATTCGAACTGCATGTAATGGAGAACAAGTCTGATCACCGCAATTGAGAGAAACCAGTTGGATTTCTGATCTAGTCGGAGGTAGACTTACCTGTGAAGTAAGAAACTATTTTGTGGTTCAGATTTCTCATTGTTTAGGGGTTTGGAGAGTGATCACCATGCAAACATCGATGTTCTTCGAGAATCATGGAGTTGGGCGGCTACTGGTTTCACAGACCCCTCAGACTACTCAGTTTCCTTGGTTGGTTGGATCTCAACCTATATATGGTGAGCCTCTTAGCCAGATGAAGCCAATAACTGGGGACCATATCAGTGTGGAGGAGCAGCTACCAGCTGTGTCACGACAAGTGAATCATGTTATAGACTTAAGCAAGGTGCGAGGTTCAGCGTTCAAAATCCCAGAGAAAGGTGGTAATGGTACGGTTAGCTTCTCAATATTCCTAGGTTCTGTGTTTCTTGCACTGCCTTCCTTTCTCAATATTCCAAGTCTTTTTGTTGTTTTGGTTTTACTTCTCCAAGTAACTTACTTTCTTTGACACCTAAAACATGGGCGTGGCTAGTGAGATGTTTTGTAACTCGAATCATGATTTATTCATAAAATAGGGGATGATAGCTGGAACGAGGCATCTCCCATTAGTTGCTGGATTTATGCTGGCTGAAATTTGGACCTAAGAGCTTGTGTCAGATGTTAAATAAATGGGCTTCCCTTTTGGCACCGTGAATCCACATTATTGTAAACAAGACAAGGTGAGAGATGAATGTTTATTGGAAAACAGGCCTATAAGAACATGTAGAACCAAAGACAAAACTTAATGGATTTCATATGTGGTGTTTAAGTTACAAAAACACAAATATTTCCAATGTATAGTAGCAAAACTATAGTAGGAAATGAATCACTGAAGAGTAAAGAAAGTGGTCAATTATGACAAGCAATCATTCTATCGAGATTCGAGTACATAAACATGTGTATAAGCTGCAATAGAAGTGTAAGTAAAAAATTTCGAAGTGGGATATCTTTCAGACAACTATTATCTTCATATATTATAAAAGCTTAATGTGCTATTTATCTCTCTCTTTTATACGATGTGTCTAATCAAATTAGTTGAGGAACCCACAGTACATCCTCATTATTTTCCAGAAGTTTCTTCTGAGGTTCATATCATATGATGTTTCTATCTACTGATGCTGTTTAACATGAATCTGACCACACTTTTTTTCTACTTCAGATTCCAAGGATTTAATAAAAGAGCAGAAGATTCAGCAACATTTGATGCCCTTCTCTCTACAGCCATCATTACCAGAAAATCCAAATTGTTTCGAACAGGGTTTTGGTCAGTCCATGGTAGGTTGTTTTTTTGTTTTCGTGCTCTAATCTCTTGTAAAAATAGTTGTTTATAATTTTACTAATTATATTCACAATGGCATGGAATCATTTTCTCACTTTTTCTTATACCGGTGTAGGTTTGTCCCAGTAGCTCTTATGTTGACCAGTTCTATGGCTTATATGCAACTTATGGAACCCAAGCAATGGTTGGTTTCCCTATTTCGTGCTTTGTATGACTAAAGATTTGAATTTTCTTTCCTTTGGTCTTTTCTTGAATGGGAGAAACCATTTCAACTTTATAAATTGTCTACTAATTCAATAAGTTGAGTAGGTTTGATTGAAGTATATGTTAATCTGAGTAAATACCATTAAGCTTTTTGGTCTAGAAGGTTTGTATGTGGTGCTTCTAGAACTAGGAAATAATTCAGGTGTTGAGACTGAGACCTTGAGTTTTCAGGTATTTGACTTGAGAGCTTTTTGAATCTGATGAGTCAAGACAGAACTTGCTACAGAAGTCAACTGAGCATTTTCCATATGAAGGGCAAGAAATGGAATTCTTGTCCATTTTTAGAGAAATCGTTGGATAGACATCTTAGTAAGGGTGAGGATGTACTGATGTGGCAAGGAGCTCCTGAATTGGAAATGTTGGTAGTTTTTCATAGAGTAGGTGTCTTAAGTGACAGCATTACTGTTATATGTACTATGGTACATGCTATGCTAACAAGTGGCACACGATGAGCATCCGTGACTAGTATTTGAAATCAGCCTTAAATGTAGCCAAGTTACTATTACATGAAAAAATGTTGACTCAGATTTTAGTTGGAGAAATGATGATCTTGCAGATTTCTGTTTGTTGTATGTACAAAATGAAAGATTCCAAAGAGGTGAACTAATCTTGATAAATGTGTCTAGCAAATAAACTGATAGAGCCGTGAAGGTATTTCTTGTGTTTTGTAGGCTAGTATGGATGAAATCACTAGACGTAAGCTTCATCCTTATCAGTGGAATGTAGAAAAATTGCAACACTGTAGAAAACCTAATCAATATTGATCTAATACTTCATAAAGTAGAGTAACTGGTATTTGGTCATTTGTAGTCATCTTGTAGAAAGTTCCAGTGCTCGTGTCTTCATTTTGATCAGCACAATATAGAAAATTTTGCATCAGTGGAGGAGCCTGGGCAATATTGACCTAACACTTAGTAGATTGCCTGGTATTTAAAGCCGTTGTTAATCATCTCTTGGACACTTCTGGTGCTTGTTAAAATGTGATTCTATGGAATACTATGCTTATTGTCATCAAGGTAGCTGGCTATTGGACAAGTCACAGGTTGGTTTTGGAACTCCTAGCACTGGGTGGCCTGTGTAAAATTGTAACAAAAGTCTATGTTTTATAAGATCACCACATTTGGGAACATTTATTCTGTAAGCTTGTTGACTTCAGGGCACTTCTAATTTATAGGTTAAACCTAAATGTTATTAGATGTTTAGATATGCTCCATGAGAGTTTGCATAAGATGACAAGAACCTTGATACTTTTTGGAAGCAAAATCTTTTTCTAAAAACACTTGATCTCACTTAAACTGGTCTTTTCTAGAAAGAACTAGCAATGACCTTATTATTTTTAATCAATGATGGTGCATGGCTGAACATAGTAGAAAAATGAAAAGATAAAGCAATGAGAACTTGTTATTTGGCAAATTTACTATGTCATATTTCCCCTTGTTTTCTCAACAGATGATCTTTGAAACTTCCTCAATCATGAACATGGTGCAACCTAGTTTTTAGTAGTTGTATCAAGAATTATGTGATCGTGAATCCCTCATATTCATTTTGCAGAATGGGCGTATGCTTTTACCAATGGATATGACAACTGAAGGACCGATCTATGTGAATGCAAAACAGTTCCATGCAATTCTTCGTCGCCGCAAAGCCCGTGCTAAAGCTCAGAAAGAGAACAAGTCGATTAAAGTTAGGAAGGTATGTGTCTACTGCACAGTACAAAAATCCTTGTTGCAATAGAAGTGAATTTCCCAGTATGTTTTGTTTCATAATCTGTGACCATAAGAGTAGCTATTAATATATATATTTTTAGTTATCTGTTCTAGCGGACATTATCAGTCTTTTTAAGAGTACTTTGATATTCGTCGGTAGCTCCTTTCAGATGCCATTAGGTGACCAACTGTTGTGGGACTCCTCGAGTTTGTCCCCCTTGTAACGGCTAAGAAAATCATCATATGATTATTATGGGAGGCATCATCCTTAACTGTTATTTGATTGAATGGCCTGCATATGTATGGACTAAGGGCGTATCATTGGGATTTCCTTTCTGCAGTCATATTTGCTTATTGGGATTTCTTTTCTGCAGCCATATTTGCATGAGTCGCGTCACCTTCATGCGATGCGTCGAATGAGGGGCTGTGGTGGTCGCTTTTTGAACTCGAAAAAGGAATGCAGCGGACAGGGTGGAAATGGTGGTTGCAAAGTGAAAGATGGGTTGCCTCCTCGTCCTGCCACATTTGCAAGGTCTGAAATTCTGCAGTCTGATAGCTTAAATCTGAACTCAGCAAGCGGTGGTTCGAGTGCATCAGGATCCGAGGTGACAAGCGTGTATGCTCAGGAAGACGTTGATGACTTCCACATCGCTGAACATTTGTGCCCATCTGTTTTCCAGTCTCATTTAATTATGATGAACGGAGGACAAGGAACCAGTAACCATAGCAAATGGGGTGCAGCAGCTGATAGCTGCTGTGATCTCCTCAAAGTCTGATGAGATCAATACCAGGGAGGGGTGGTTGAGAGTTATGGTACTTGTTAGCTTGAGAGCAGTGCTGCAACCTATTCATTCCCTTCCAGGACTTAACACAACCAGATGGAAGAAATGGCCACTGGTTAGATCTGGATCGCGGATCAACCTGGCTTTATTTGGTTGGGCAATTCATTCTTGGCTTATCCGCATCGGGGCCTTCAAAATCATCTAACTGTTCCTAGTAAGTCTAGCAGACTTGCGGCAGTGACGATGATGAAAGTCCTCGATGCGCTGTAAAGGCGTGGATGGGGCTTGTCCCTGTCTTTCCTGGTACTTTATGAAGAACAACCATATCTGTGGATTCAGATAACCATGAACATTGTACATCTCGGAGCTTGTTTGGTTGAAGTGTTTGTGTGCTACGTACCGTTATATTTATGATTGGAAACTACTTTTGTTAGCTTCTTTTTTTTTGGTTTTTGAGATTGCTTTATCTACCTAATGCTTCGACTGTGGTGAATCTTCCTTTGTCTATTTGTACCCCTCATATCATGCTGGTGTTTGAATTAGAGTTTTTGTCTTTAACAACAATCTTCATGCGGTGAACAAGGTAGGTTGCTTGCTTGCTTGCTTCTTGGATCACAAGACCTGTTGCTTTGCGTTAGGTGAAAGGCTTCACCCTTGTTGACTTTTGACATGATGCGTCAACAACAGCATTACATGACTTTCAATTTGTCCAGATTATTATTTCTGAATGCCATTTTACGCCCACTTGGTTTTACTTCTGCATCACCGACCATTTGATTATTTAGAAAAGCATTTGATTATTTTGAACACAAATTGGATGATAGACTCAATAACTCTTTTTACAAGACCATTTCTGATAAATGGCGATTTCTCCTGAATTCTCGATAAATAGTCTTTGACACAACAGCATTAACACAAAAGAATCATGCTTGCCAATGGTCCATGTATCCATCTATCTATTCAGACAGCAACAGAATGAAATGTCTCATTCATCAACTATCTTCAAAGAAATAGTAGCCCGTCCATCAGACTTCGCATCCAAAATAGACGACCAAATATCAAGCAACTACATCAAAAATGGCAGACACAAGTCTGAATAAACATGTAGGAAATTAGATTGAAAAAGGCAAAAAAAGACAACCTCTGTATAGGTAGGCTCCTTTTTATTGCATGCATAATTCTAAGGCCTCAAGCGCTCTGATTCTATCAGATGTAAATGAGGTAGAAGGGAACAAAAAACAAAAAAAAACAAAAAATGAGTACAGAATACCACAGTAAAGCTGATGGCATCTTTAACTTAAAAAGAGTAACTTTAGATGGACTCTACATTCATCATATTCGGCAACTGTTGTCCATAACACAATTTACAATGGCGAAAAAAGAAAGAATCTTCAGCTTTCCGAGTTTGCAACTTCCTGAATTTTGGCTTCTTTAACTTCTAAGAGTAACTTTAGATGGACTCTACAGTCATCATATTCAGCCACTGTTGTCCATGACACAATTTACAATGGCGAAATTAGAAAGAATCTTCAGCTTCTGGAGTTTGCAACTTGCTCAATTTTACCATCCAAGCGTGTACCTCACCGAGGGGCATGAAGCACAGTAAGATAGAAAGGGTGCCCATGAGCCGTACCAGAAGACGACACGCCAGCTATTCCTTCCTCAAGTGGCTTTACCTCCCAGTGCAATTCATAGTTTGACAAATCGTACGTACCAGCTGCAAATAGACAGATCTTAAGGGAAATTTCAGTTGTACACAATGGTTCCAACTTTAGTTTAGTAGAGCTCGTCGCACACCAAACAAAGGGTGATAAAGTGTCAACTGATGATTTCTTGGGTTGATTCCCATGGACGCTGGAGAGAACTTTCATGTCATTAACCAAGGATATGTCATGCCACCCTCCTTCATTTTCAGCAGAATCAGAAAGCTTAACTCCATCACTTGACTGGTTTTTCTCGGGCAATGTATCATAGGTGGTCAGTCTGATGATAACAGCAGCATCAGAGCAACTGTGGATTCTCAAGTGAAAGTTAGCTTCACAGAACGAACCAGAGAAATCATGATTAATCATTCGGGGACCATTCATTTGCCAAGATAATGGACACCTGCTGCTAATACTGGACACAAGGATAAGAAATGCATCAGTTATTTCAAGATTCTAAAAGCTCAGTAAAGTCAGAGGCCAACAAGGTTCTAATCTTGCCTGCAATGACATGCATGGTAGGATAATAACTTTGGTTGCATTCCTGGCTCAAAGACAGGACCATTTCCCTGCATCTTTGAGATCAAGATGAAATCAACAATGCTTGAATCTCCCTGAACCACACAAAGTACAAGTCAGGTCATACAAAATTACAAGGAGAGCCATATGAGAGTAAAATCAACCATTTACAATGTCTATGCCCAAAATTAAATATAAGTGATATAACATGAGAGATTATTCATATCAATGGATTTGCAGAAAATCAAAACTTCTTTCCATAATATGTATGGAGTTTCATGGAGGATACCAAAAATTATTATTAGAAATAGAAGACATAATGCTTTATCCACTAAAACCATAACAACAATAAGCCGCAATATCCCAACTATTTGGAGCTGGCTATACCCTCCACCTCTTGCACCACTAGTACTAATCATCTCACCTGGAGCAACCCTTCAATATGTGCTAGACCCTCCACCTCTTGCACCACTAGTACTAATCATCTCACCAGGAGCAACCCTTCAATATGTGCATGGATTCACACATTCACACATGCATGTGCATGGCCACACATATGTACACATAAAATTCAAAATATGCATATTACAAATACAAATGTTTTTGTGTGCATGCACACACACAAACACACGTGTGTTCCATGTCTGCACATGTATATAATATACGAAATGGACTTGCTCACTAGAAAGAACCTTACTATTTTTACCATTGAACATAATCCAGATAATAAACTTGGTCCTTGAAAAAAAAGTAAAATCAACTATGTTACATCCTCGAACTACCCTTACAACTATCAAATGTATATCCAAAGTATAGGGTCATTTCCATGTCCGGTAAATTTAATTTTGTTATATCACATGTTTGATCCCTTGATTATATCAATTTTTTTAGTCCACCCAACATAAATAACTGAGTGGGTTAAGTAATGTCGAGTAGGGTTTGCCATTTCGGATACCGGACCCGTCTCAGAGATTTGTCGGGTCGATACATATTGGTCCTATACCGCTGTACCTACACATGGTACGTTGAGGCGTGCCGACGGGGACTCGAGCGATCCACATCTCAATCACCAACCGTACCTATCTATATCACCCATACCATATCGACATGGGCGGTACAACGAACCTTGATGTCGGGTAGATTACTAATTTAGCTTTGAGTGATATAACCATCCATAATGAAACAAACACATCTGATACAAGAATTATGAAGGTTCGACTTCTACTGACCTTCGCTGACTTTCCCTGATGAAATCTTTCATGCTGATGAAATTCAGCCAAAGGTGACCTTGATACATCAATCATTGCTTCTTTGCAACTGTGAGAAATCATCAGTAGGTCACTTCCTTGCAAAGTAACCTCTCCTTCAGTATTTATAACTTTTCGACAATCCTGAAGAATGAGTAAAATTTACAAAAAAAAAATCAACTGTTCATCATGATTGTATAGATGGTACATAAAAACTTTTTCAGTGATCCTAAAAGATCAAGTTTTAAACTGTTCAAATGTTTGCAGACTCAAATTTTTTGCACCCAAGAGTTGATAACATAATTACTTAAACTCGTTGTACTAATCATTTTTGGATGTGAACTAAAGTTTGCAAACCTTAAGCTTAAAGAAGCATGACAATGCCTGACCAGCAAGTAATGTTTGAACAGGTTGCATAGAAAGCGATTCTGGCAATGCTAATATTTCCCATAGATTGCCAACACATGACAACTGATTGAGGGAGAAAGTCTCTGACTTTGTCCTGTTCAAAATATCCATACGCACAAAGTACTCTTCCAAGCTTGATTCGCAGGGAGAGATCTGGAATGATACATCTAATGATGGTAATACCTGAAAAAATTTAACTAACAATTATGTCAAAATTTTCAATTGCATAAATCTGCAACACTTTAAGATAAGTAACTGGAATTAGCATGAGTTATGCCAAATATAACGAAACGGAATGCATCAGGTAAAGGTTTCTTGGATTGCAGACCTTTGGATTAGATGATTCTTTGCCAACAAAATATCAGAATACTTCATGGAAGTCTTTCCAACCAAACATAAGTCAGAAGGGTCATTGCATAACCTTGTACCACTAGTATGTTGCAAAATGAACATTTATAACATTTATCTATATTTTATAATATCATCTAATTTTCTACTGGTTGCTATTTATTATCTTCCAATCCCTGTTTAACAAAAACTAAGGTAGCATCCTTTCCCCAATTAAACTCAATTCATGATTGAAGCTACTTCATATTCATGTGAAAATCTGTACCCATTCTCCAAAACTTCCTTCTTGACATGAATCTCTAAGGTTCGCATTCATAATTCCAAATATTGCAGTATACTGCCTGTAATTTTCATAGTACTTCTAATAGTATATTAAGGACTACTATACCAATATTGGTCCAGTAAGATTCCAAAATTGGTACAGTTATGAGTACTGAATTTTAAGTACTTGCTGGCATCTCATTTACAGTTCCAGTAAATAGAATTGCCTGCCAGTCCCTTTTTACATAAACTGCTTGCTTCCTTTCAAAAAGGACTCTTCCCATTTAGCACTGTAGTCTTTCACATGCTTCCTTTTGGTCAATGCTATACAATATCACCTACTTATATCCAGCTAAAACATAAACATGTTAACTCATAAACTCACTGCTACCACATTGAACTCTTAAATCAACCAACTAAATATACCATTGACTTCAAAGCAACATCTAAATGTTGAAAGAAAATTTATATTTCATCCGAATTCCTTTAAGTAACCTGTATAGAATTTGGGGATTCAAGAAATTTTTTTAAATTAATTGATCACAGGATACATTCAACTCTTTTTCACTAAAAACTGAACCAGTTCAGGAAGATATTAATAAGAATAATTTCCATAAAATGATTGCAGGTGGTAGTGAATAACTTCAAAATAGAACCTTGATCTGATTGGTACCAGACCAAGCTTAACCAAATATATCTCTAGGTTGTTCAAGAAAAGCTTTAACTGGTTAAGTTTCATGTCCACTTCACATCAAGCAATACTCGTATTCAGGCTTCAGGAAAAAAAAAACCAACATGAAAAAAATTTTGTTCCCTCTGGAAACATCATGACACCTGCAAACCCAAAACCAGCCAGCCAATTTGTTATATGGGTTTCAGCGGAAAACCTTCTCCACCTGAAGTGCCATGTCAAATCAGCTGATCCGACACTACTACAATGAAGGCCAGAACCCTA